CTTCCTATCATCACCATAATTAAAAAAATGACCTGAGGGCACACAACACCAAAAACTGCTCCTGTATTTGAGGCCAGGTAGTTAATGTGTTTCCTAGCAATTGGTCTTTTCCATCATGGAACATGAACACAGAGCGTAAACATCTCTGATCAGGATCAGGAAAGCAGGGGGTAACACATTTCTGCTTGTGACTGCCTAACTTGTTCTAGAAACGCAACTTTTAAGCTCTGCCTGTTCCTCCCTTGGGCACAAAACACCAAAGCAGTTTCCTTCCTAATGAAGCATTATTTGCTCTTATCAGCCTCCCAGTTTTGTGCAAAAGCAGGCACGGTTATCATGCCCTTCATGTTGCTATGGGAAACAGTGGGATCTTTGTTCCAAAGTCAGCCAAAAATGAAACAATAATGAAAATGTGTGCGTATATGGCCACAGGGGAACAGGCAAGATGAGGTCGCAGTCACTTCTCTTGAAAACTGCAAGTCAGAATGTGCAACAGCTCTTTTGCATCCAGAGCGGGTTAGAGGCCAGCACAGACTTTCCCAGTAGTGGAAGCTTTTCAACGTCAAGTGCCAGAATCCTTCATCACTATAATCATAACAATAATAAACTTTATTTAATACCCCACCACCATCTCCCCAACGGGGACTCGGGGCGGCTTACATGAGGCCAAGCCCAACAGCATATTACAATAAAGTAAAACCAAAACACAATAACAACACAGTAAAATACATACAACATATGAGTACAAAAACGACAAAGCAAAATCATACACATTAAAATAAAATAACATAACAATGAGCGGGCCGCATATACAAGATAAAAACTAAAATACTAAAATCAGTATGAGATAGGGATGGAGCAGATTGTTTGTGGGGGAGAATCATAGAATCAAAGAGTTGGAAGAGACCTCATGGGCCATCCAGTCCAACCCCCTGACAAGAAGCAGGAATATTGCATTCAAATCACCCCTGACAGATGGCCATCCAGCCTCTGTTTAAAAGCTTCCAAAGAAGGAGCCTCCACCACACTCCAGGGCAGAGAGTTCCACTGCTGAACGGCTCTCACAGTCAGGAACTTCTTCCTCATGTTCAGATGGAATCTCCTCTCTTGAAGTTTGAAGCCATTGTTCCGCGTCCTAGTCTCCAAGGAAGCAGAAAACAAGCTTGCTCCCTCCTCCCTGTGGCTTCCTCACATTTATACATGGCTATCATATCTCCTCTCAGCCTTCTCTTCTTCAGGCTAAACATGCCCAGCTCATTAAGCCGCTCCTCATAGGGCTTGTTCTCCAGACCCTTGATTATTTTAGTCGCCCTCCTCTGGACACATTCCAGCTTGTCAATATCTCTCTTGAATTGTGGTGCCCAGAATTGGACACAATATTCCAGGTGTGGTCTAACCAAAGCAGAATAGAGGGGTAGCATTACTTCCCTAGATCTAGACACTATGCTCTTATTGATGCAGGCCAAAATCCCACTGGCTTTTTTTGCCGCCACATCACATTGTTGGCTCATGTTTAACTTGTTGCCCACGAGGACTCCCAAGATCTTTTTCACACGTACTGCTTTCAAGCCAAGCGTCCCCTGTTCTCTATCTCATAAAGGAACAGGGTCATAAATATAGACCTTCATACAGGTGGGGAATTATACTCTGGGGACAAAAACCGTTGAGAGGGAGCAACTGTGTTTGATAATATGGCTACTCTCCAAAAGCGCATTGGAAAAACCACTGACTATTATTGTTGTTTATACCCCACTTTTTCTCTCCACAAAGGAAACTCAAAGTGACTTTGCATTTAAATTGCAGTTTTCATTGGCCACAGATAATCCTGAATACACAATACATATCAGTATCAGAAAGAGCATTTTCAAGAGAGGTACTTTCCTCATGAATGGAACGATGCCAGAAATTTCTCGAAACATTGGACATTTTCAAAGTTAGTGTCAATTTTATACAAAGTTGGAGATATTCGTTTGTTTGAAATAGGATGAAGGTTTGTGCACTAATAAGTTACACTTTTTTTAATCGTATCAGAAGCGACTTGAGAAACTGCAAGTTGCTTCGGGTGTGAGAGAATTGGCCATCTGCAGGATGTTGCCCAAGGGACATACAGATGTTTTACCATTCCATGAGAGGCTTCTCCCATGTTCCCGCATGGGAAGCTGGAGCTGACAGACAGGAACTTATCCCGTCTCACAGATTCGAATTGCCGACCTTCAGGTCAACAGTTCAGCCAGCACAAGGGTTTAACTCATTGTA